TCATTTTAGAGAACTTATAAACACAGACAAAAGTTATATTAATAAACAAGTAAGGAAGGGCTAAGTTCGGATGTAACCGAACATTTTATACTCTCGCAAAGTCAAATGGTATACTCGTTTGAGATTTCTTTGTGGATTGACTGATATTTTCGGTAGAAGGTCACTTATAGGCAATGGGGTCCACATATTTAGTACTTAGGGGCTTGAACAGTTTTGGTTCGATTTAGACAATTTTTGGCCGCAAGGTGGCATACTTTAATTGCATTATTCACGCAAAGTTTTACCCCGATATAATCATTGTTACCTGATTTGCATAGTGGAAAGTGAAAGAATCAGATGGAATTGAAAATGGTGTTACATGGGAAGTAAGCGTGGTTGTAGTCCGATTTCGCCCATTTTCGCACTATGACATAGAAACATGAAAAGAACGTTATGCACCGAATTTGGTTGCAATCAGTTGAGCAGATCTCAAGATATGGGTTTTCACCTAAAAGTGGGCTGTGCCAGGCCCACTGACTAATTTTGAACGCGGTTCCTATAAAGCCAATTTATACCATCTCAGAGATAAAATTTAATGTCTCTGGCGTGTTTAGTGCTTGATTTATCGCGCTTTTAGTAGTTTTTAACAGTACCGTTATATGGGGAGTGGGTGGAGTTGCCACCCGATTTCAACTATTTTCACACCGTCAATAGAAGTGCTAAAAACATTTGATTCTAGTGAATTTTGTTATTATAGCATTAGCGGATTAGGAGATATGCACATTAAACCTATTAGAGGCGGGACCACGCCCACTTTAAAAAAAAAAGTTTTAACTGCAGATGCCCCTCCCTAATGTGATCCTGTGTACCAAATAACAGTCTTGTATCTTATTGCGGAGCTTAGTTATGGCAAGTTATTTGTTTTTGATTAATGGCGTTTTGTGGGCGTGGCAGTGGTCCGATTACGCCCATCTGCAATACCAACCGTCTCACGGTACCAAGGAACATGTCTACCAAGTTTCATAAAGATATCTCAATTTTTACTCAAGTTAGAGCTTGCACGGACGGACGGACGGACGGACGGACAGACAGTCACCCGGATTTCAACTCGTCTCTTCATCCTGATCATTTATATATATATATTACTATATCTAACTCGATTAGTTTTAGGTGATACAAACAACCGTTAGGTGAACAAAACTATTATACTCTGTAGCAACAGGTTGCGAGAGTATAAAAATACAGATATGATAATTTACAAGTGTTAATGACAGAAACAATTAAAAATGTACACGAAAATTCACATGTTAAACATTTAATGAAAAGGAAATATCAATTTTTAATAACTGAACTACAAAATATGGTTCATATGATAGCTATGGCAAAAATAGGAATTTTAAACCCTGCAATTTTACATTTAGATGAGATAAAAAATATAATTCAAAATGAAAACGGACAATTGACTATAACTAATTTAATGGACATTTCTAACTTTAAGATATTACAAAATAAAGATGTAATTGTTATATATATAATATTAAGTATCTAAAAATTATAAAAGATTGCAAATGTTATGAAGTAAGAGTAATCACACAAGAAGACGGTAAATTAGTAATTGGCAAAGAAATTGCAAAATGCAAAAAAGGATATATTAATATAAAAACTTGTAAAAAAGAAATGATAAACACTTATTGTAAAATTAATAATTCAAATTCTTGCCTATCAGATATTTTGTCCAGAAAAAAAGATAAATGTAAAAAAATCAAAGAAATAGATGTAATTAAAGAAGGAGCAATATTAGTTTCTGGAAATACCACAGTTGATGGCTGCCATAAACGTAGTTTACCTTTTTACTTTTGAGAATTATACAAATATTAATAATATAATATATGAAATGTCGATTGCAAAATTCGGAAGTATTTAAAGAACAATCATAATAATAATTTTGAAATTATAGAATATATTGAAACAAAAAATAAAGAAATGAAACTTAAAAACATAAATATTTTAGCTGAACGAAGGAAAGTTTTTAAACATCATTAATTTTTATGGTACATAATTGTTAATAATGTACATAATTTATAGGATTGTAAAATTTAAAAAATCTTATAAAACTTTCAAAATAAATTAAAATTTAGAGTTATATCTTGGAATCGTATAACGCTATTTTTGATAAAATAAATAACCTATCAAAAAATGATATTGAATCGGGGACGATTCATCTTAGAGCACTTAGCAATTAACAGCCTCTTAATAAGCATCTTCGCTTATTTAGGTAACTGATATTCTTTATAGTTCAGCCGTTTTCAGGAACAACCAGTGGCAGATACAGAATTTGTTCCTGGAGGGAATAATTTCCTTCCAACATATTTTTAATATCGATATTACTTCGTATATTCTTCTGAATTTGACAGTAACGGACTCTGTGAATCGATCTATTAACTATAAAAATTTCAATCAATATTTTATTATTACCGAACTATCATTTATCGTGGATCCGTCACTGCGGACAACCGATGACCGAAGCTTATGTGTTTGTTTTTATGTCAAAGAGTTGAAGTGTCGTAGCATTGACGACTGTTTGCGAGACAATAAAGCGTCAGAACATTGTGTTGTTGGTAGAAAATCCGAGCTATGCCGAAAAATAACGAATTGCCGCCGATTGTCTCCAGTTCCCTTGCTGCTCTAACAGCTTTGCCTACAAATCATCGTAAGATCAATAAGCATTGAAGCAGATTTTTGTGAGGCACGGAAAAATATTTTAAAATTCTAAAAAATATTTCAAAATTCTAAAATATTTTAAATCGACAAAAGCTTTGTTGCCACTTATGTCACTTTTTTCGATGTTTTGCGGGTTTGTGGGGTTGTCACTTTTCCCTTCTCGAAAGAACATCAGAAATTTGTTAAATTTATGATTTTTAGCTTTTCCCATTGTAGGAAAAAGACGAAGATGTGAGGGTATCAGTTTTGATGAAAGAAGCGCGGTCGACTGTTGAGAATACGGCTGTGTTCATGAATGAAAATGTTGTTGTTGTGTTATTTACTATAAATTTGGGCTTCGGCTATTTGGCTGACATATTGACTTGTGACGATTGTTGTTTTTGTAGAACAATGTTTGTAGTTTTTGCGGGTGACATATTTACATGTGTACGGATATTCATATGTAAGTTGGTTTGTGTATGCATATATGCATATTTGTTCGGCAATGTTATATATACATACATGGATAAGGAGCCATCCATAAATTACGTCACACGAATTTCAGGCCTTTTTAACCCCTTCCCCCGTCCTTGTCAGTTGTTACATTTTGAAAAACCCCTCCCCCCTGACGTGACGTCACACATTTTCCAATTTTCTTAAAAAATAATAAAAAAATCAGTTATTTCCATTTATTCTTATATTTATTGAATAATATTTAATAAATTCAAAGATAGAGACAACAAATGACTAGTTAGAAAACAATAGACACTTAATTATACTAATCAAAAATATGAAACTTAATCATCTTGTGTCACCATGAACCTTCTCTATGATATACGTTCTCTGGTCTTGCAAACAACCTAAGCACAGGAAGATAGATAAATGAGCAAGCACTTGCCAACAACCTACCCAAATCTTTACTATTGAGAATTCTCGTAAAATTTAGTGCTTTACTTGCATTACAACACCGTTCTAAAAGTTGAATGTCATGAGACATAATTTCATGGCGACTGTATTAAAAAATAAAGTTCGCGTTTGTAAATGTCATATTCGAATGAGGGGGGAGGGTCCTTCAAGGTGTGACGTAATTTATGGATAGCCCCTAAGTGATAAAATTGAATCCAATTTCTGAATGCGTACATTCAAATGCGCATGTTCAGATATATGTTTATATGACTGTATAAGATTAATATGATAAAATATGTATGTATATGTTTTAATAAATTTAATCACTATTATAATTAATCACAATTATAATACAATATATAATATTTATTATGAATGCATATTATGTAAAAACTAAATAAAATTCTTAAATGCCCAAATTGACTATAAATATTATTTTGAAAATTACATAATTTAATTAGAGTCTTATCAGTTTTTCATGCATGCATAAAAATTCGCATAATGAAATGCATATAAACGTATAAATATATAAACCAAAAGGCTAACATTCGGCTGTAATATCAAACTTCTGAGCATAATTTACATTCAATGCTCAGCTCTGTTCACGCGCCACTGTTAAAATTTCTCCTTCCGAGCTAGTTGAGGTGAAAACCACTCCTCGAATCTAGTTAGGTTTGGACAATTCACACGCTGGTATGCAATTGAACCTTCTCTATAATATACGTTCTTTGTCTTTAGTAAAATAACATAAAAGTAGAGCTAACGTTGTTTTTTCAGCTAGGTAGGTAGATAGGTGTATCAGAGAACTTAGATGAATGAGAAGGTGTATGTTCGATAGCGAACATTTGTAAAATTTTATTGGGGAGCTCACCTCACACGCAGTAGAAACAAAAAACATTTCTCGCTTTTATAACAGCGGTGAATCTGTACACGTGTAGCTCTCTTTCAGTAGCTCTAGTTCATTTACGTTCTCTGGGTGTATTACGATATATTGAAAAAGTTGATTTTGAAACTTTTGCAGTTATGACTCTTTTGTAGTTACGGTACTTATATAATTACTTTAAACAGATATATAGTGCATACATATGGGTATTTTCCAAAAATGTAGTGTGAAAGTGTAGCATCTTGGGCATATTTTCGAAATATTTGTTGTGTATAGCGTGTAGACAGTGGTTTCCCTTTTATGCAGATTTTAATGGTCTTTTATATAAATTTAATATGTATTCAATTATACATGGATGTATGCAAATGTTTAATATTATTTTTTACGAAATTTTTATGAATTTGTTAGTATTCGTATTCTTAGATATTTACAATTGTATGTAAGTACATTGCAAAATGTACCGTATGCATTTTATAATTACTGAATATGGTTGTTTGTATGTATGTAGGATTGAGATCGTAACCCTGTGTACTTATTCAATGATTTCCCGAGCTTTGAAATTGCTGCATCGCCGCCGCCAGTGCGCTCGATGAGGGTGTCATTACTTGTGGTGAAATCACAGCAGTGGACAAACTTGTCGCTGCTAACATTGTTGCTGTCGACGATGTAGTGGGTTGTGCTTTTGGTGTTGGCTTTATATCTTCGATTTGTATTAGCTGCTCAATAGGTATGAGAGATAGCTCGCCGCCTGGTTGCGGTATGGGTGGCAATTTAGCCAAAGCCTGTGGTAAAAATAAGTTCGTTTACATGCGTGCGAAGAATACTAAATAAATTGAATTTCTTACGACAAATATATTACCTTGGCATGTTCAATGGCAATTGTTGCCGCCTTTTCGGCTTCACGCTGTCGCCGCTCTTTTAGTTTCAGCGAGAATATACCAACTGATCGTGCACTTTTTACAAGCTTTTGCTTTAAGCGAGATTTTTTCGCTGCAATCTCCGCTGCTATATGAGATATTAAACAATTTTGAATAAATTAGTATTATTAAAACTATTTATTGTTCCATTTAAATCCAAGACACAGTGGCGTAGCTACCTTGGGTGTCACCCGGGGCGGAAGTTGGTGGTGTCAACCCCAAGGAAAGTAAAAAGCAATAAATGTTATATGATAAAGGACATGGATCATTTATTATTTATAATATTGAAGAAATAACAAAACACAATAATTACTAAGACCGAAAAGGAATTGTTATACAATTAAAAATTCTTCTTTCTAGATTTGGCAGCTGCAAACTCAGCAATAACTTCATCGAAATTTATATATTGTATTGCCTCGTGTTCGATGGCTAATATACCAAGATTGATAAGCCGCGATTGGGTCATTGTTGTCCGCAAATAGTTGTTTATTAATTTTAATTTACTGAAACTCCCCTTACATGAAGCTACGGACACGCAAACCGTCATGAACATTTTCAGTGCAATCTAATATTTAGAAGAGATTCTGTAAATTCCCATTTTACAATAAACTTATAAAAATCTTGAGGCACCCAATCAGTAACCATATACATAGAGCTGAGCTAGTGCTTGTGAAGGGATCCCCGAAAAAAATTTTGTGCAAGCGATTTATTTTTGAGAGATCAGGTGGGTGTCACCCCAAAAAAGGTGCCGCCCCCCTTTGCTACGCCACTGCCAAGACATAATAATATTATATAACTATTCATATGGCGATTCCTTTAAAAAAAATATTACTCAAAAGAAAAACTAATTATTTCTTCAGAAAGTATAATAATATCTGATAAATAGGTAAAATTAGCATAAAGACTGAGTCCGATCGTACCAAGCATTATATACTTTCTGAAAATTTCGACTCGTGGTGGGTTGTGTTCTGAAGATAACGAAAGGCGGAGTATACTGTGATGCAATTTTTTGAGGTTAACTAACAACGACTCGAGAAGAGAAACGTAATGTTCTTCAACAAACAAGACATATTTCTTTCTAATCCAGCACTCGAATGAGATTCTAATTCTAATTTGTAAATGTTCCCTACTTCTCGAAAAAATAAATTCATTCTTTAATACATACATACATTACATTAAATATAAAGGTTGTCAAATATCCCTTCCGCTTTTTTGCTCTTCATTCAATGCTTTATAAAAAGTGTTACAGTGATCGGATTTAGTTAAAATATGCGCCGTTTTGTTCGATGATCTGTTTCCATCTAGACGGCAACTTCATAATACCTTCCTCGTAGAAGCCCCCCTCCTTATTTGCGAAGAATTCGGACAGCCACTTTTCACAAGCCTCTTTTGAGTTCAACTTCACACCACCAAGGGCATTCGCCATGGACAGGAACAGGTGGTAATCACTTGGCGCTACGTCCGGGCTATATGGTGGATGCGATTAACTCCCCATCCGAGCTCCGTAGCTTCTGATGAGTCATCAACGAAGTGTGTGGTCTGGCGTTGTCCTGGTGGAACACTACACCCTTCCTGTTGGCCAATTCTGGACGCTTCTGGTCGATCGCCTGCTTCAAGCGGTCCAGTTGTTCGCAGTAGATGGTAGAATTAAGCGTCTGGCCATATGGGAGCAGCTCATAGTGGATGATTCCTTCAATCCCACCAAACACACAGCAAAACCTTCCTGGCCGTCAATCCCGGCTTGGCCACTGTTTGGGACGATTCACCGGCCTTCGACCACGACCGTTTTCGCTTGATATTGTCGTATGTGATCCATTTTCGTCGCCAGTCACCATCCGCTTCAAGAATGGGACGAGTTCGTTCCGTTTCAGCAGCATATCGCAGGCGTTGATTCGGTCCAGAAGGTTTTTGCGTCAAATTATGCGGCACCCACAATCAAACTTTTTGTATCCAGCCTTCTGCAGATGGTTCAAAATGGTTTGGTGACTAACTCCCATCTCCTGGGCGTTGTCACGAGATGCCATATGCCGGTCTAACTCGATGTATTCCATGATTTGATCGGTATTTGTCGTCACAGGTCTTCCGCCGGCTGGCTTATCCATGGTGTCGTTTTCACCGGCTCTGAATCGTCGAAACCATTCCTCCGCGGTTCGAAGTGATAGAGTACCATCCCCCAAAACACCATTAATCTCACGGAACGTTTCTCTAGCGGATTTGCCTTTAACGAAGGAAAACTTTAAAATAGCGCGAATTTCGGCGTTAGTGAACTCCATGTTTACACGTCTATAACTGTTGAACGCAATATCCAAACTAATCATGCATAGCGATGTTTGGTAGGTTATGTCAAGACCTTTCAAATTATGTATTGTGTTGCCAGATACGAGCTCTGTAGCGCTTTGTACATAGCCGCGAAATTCAAAAGACAAAAAAGCGGAGATATTTGACAACCTTATATTACATATTTACATGTACTTTGTATAATCGAGCTCAAGTGTAGTGATTTATTTTTGCATTGGATTGGAAAGAGGTTTGGTTTGTCAACTGGAAAGCATTAGAGAATAGTTTGAGAATTACACTACGTATCTAAATAAAAAAATTGTAAGACTTGAGACTGTGCATGCTAGGTACTCTCTCAAGTGGCCATTACAGCTTCAGATAAGATTATATTGGTATCGAAGTTGCTTGGAATATGCTTGGCATTTCTCCCAATAATATCAAGTATACTCATCACCCAAGGTGTACTCGAAATCTTTCCATCTAGTTTATTTAAGGCTCTGCAGTGTCCTTAACTACGTGAAATCTATCTAGAACCTTGATCCAGCAAAACGAATGTTGCGCTGAAATAATATGTATATCTATGACCACTATCGAACCACTCGAGAATGAATTCAATGTAACTTTGCAAAATTATATTGAGTACATGCACATAAGTAGAAAGTCTGCTTTTGCATTTGCCTATTGCACATAATACAAGCTTGAAGCTTTACTCCTCTGTCCCTCTTTGGCCACCGATAGTACCAACTTGTAGCATTCTCCTTATGAACTTACCTTTAGCTTCCTCGCTGTGCTGCCGTTTGCGTTGTGCTACCTGTGTTCCCTTTCACTGCGACTATCTCTGCTGTTGTACATTTTGACATTGTCAGTAAGTTTTTAAGTTGCATCGATGAGGTCGATGTAGTAGAAATGCCACCCACACTAGGCCGGGCCCTTCAACTGTCCGCCACAAAATGCCAATGGCTGTACCCATGCCGCCAGCACTGCCGAATGCCACCCAGCCGATGAAGATGATGAGGAGACAGCTAATTGCTGTTGAGTAGGCAATTTTATGGCTACATTACTCAAGATGGTGCTGGCTTTAAGATATCCGTTGTGTCTGTACTACTTTGTAACTCCTTTGTGAATTAATAAAAAGCAAACGCAATTTTGTTTGTGCACAATGATGTTTGAAAATTTTAGATAGTTCGTTTGTGCAAGCATTTCGCATTTGTTTGTGTTTTATACAAAGTTTACAGGTGTCCCAAGATATTTAAGTGCGTTCAAATAGGTCAGAATTGATAAAAATACATAAGTTGATTAGTATTGTGAAGGTTCAGTGTTTGGTTTGTGTGTATTTGACTATATACATACATACTACATAAAATTTTTAAATTTACACAAATTTTGATTTTAAACAATTAATATAATACTTTGGAAAATAAAATAATTTTTGTAAAAGCCTATATTTTCTTATGCCTTTTGACTGAACACATTTAAACGCAATAATACAATAATAACATTGCGAAACAATTTCCATAACACAATTAAGGGAACAAATAGCTTTGTCGATTTTATGGCGAGCACCAATATTTAATAATAAAAGCTTCCAAAGCTATTTACTCTACCATTATATAAGCTCTTAATATCAATTAGAATTTGTCAATTTAAGCACTTTACAAACATTCAACAAAAGCAAAATTGATATTTGTTAGGAAAACTTTGTCGAAACAAGTTTTAATGTAATAAAAAGAACATGTCTACTTATTAGGTATTAACTTAATTTGGATGAAGTTTTGCGAGTACACTCGTAATTTTAATTCTAGGCAATGTCAAAATTCCTTTCTATAGGTTTTCGATATTATAACTTATGTTAAATATAATATTGTAATAATCTTAAAGAAAAGGATGTTTTACGTATTAACTACTCTTTAACTGCTTAACTTTATCATAATTATCATTTATAAAGCACGTTATCTACAGGCAGTATGGTAAACTGTTACGTTAACTTGCACCAAATTTTTAAAATCAAAATCAGGCCTTAGGGGTCTGAATTTTAAATCATAAAGGTATGTTATACAAAGCTTTTAATAAATTAAAAGCAATAACGACTGTACTATCTTAACTTAATTTCACCTAGTTGTATAAATAGCATGTGTATATACAGTAGCTGGAGAAAGTAATCAACGACTGCGTTAAAGTCGGCTTTAGTAAATCTACTATATGAAAGCTTTAATGAATTTTGGAAAAACCGGTACTCTTAATCGAAATCACAGCACGAGGAGACAGAAGAACAACCAGCTCCTGAATATCCTAAAATGTCTAAGCATAACAAATCGATTTACAACTGAAAAATACTTCTTAGGAGATTGAAATTATTTGATGTGGGCAATAAAAGTAATTGGAAAATACACAATTCTTCGAGGATTAGAGAAACGATTTATTTTCTTCTGATATGTCCTATAATATTTGCTTGAGCCGGTGGCTTTAAATTAAAAATCCTTCGAAACAGAAAATTAAGAATTGATTAGGTACTATAATCATTTGATTAAATGGTTTAAAAATTTGTGGAATAATGTTTTTCTTATTGAATATGTTTAGTAAAATCTATTATTTTGGATTAAATACAGTTTTGTACATTAATAACTGTAGATCAGTCCAATATGTTGTTATTTTTGCAAATGTATCAAATGATTTTCTTGAATTATTCATTCATTTTATTCCATTACGATCTGCTGTTGCGATTTTATGATTAGAATGAGTGTTAACAATAGTATACAAGTAATACAAAAATCGATAAACTATAAATTTAAAACATACAAATTTCTTCATTATTCTAGTTTTCGTTCACATGTTTTACTTATATTTGCAATGTAAATACCATTATATGGAATAAAGGTAAATCAAGAATCTAATTACTTAAATGAGAAACTCAAAGGTGTTAGCTTTTTGATAACAGTTTTAATGCGAAGCTTTAGACATACATTCAAAGCAGACAACATTCAAATCTAGGTCTTCTTCTGGTATATATATGTATATGTATATATCCATATGTATATTTACCAGAAGAAGACCTATATAAATATGTGTATATAAATATATATCATTAGCATAAAAAGAACAACTTATGCTCGTATAATAAATTTAAATGCGCTCACTACAACATCGACATTAAACACACAAAGAATTTATATAAGTTAAAACTTCTTTCCATCCTTAAAAAAAACATATACGAACATTCATATGTATATTTATTTAAATAGTGTATGTGAACGTTCCACAATCTTTTTTTCAATACACCATTGTACCTTGGCAATACAATCTATACTCCTATGCAAGTTTATATTATCGCTGACTTTCAAGCGGGACATCCACTCGGGTGCATGTGCCTTAAGCATAAGCTTATCCTTTATTAAGAAGTTAATTTTTATATCGCACATGTATTTGATAGTTGTGATAGTGGAGAAAGAAATATATTGGATTTTCAAAAACATTTGGTATTTACTTTATAAAAACAATGATAAATTAAGCGAAAGCCGAAAAGCGATTGTACACTAATGTTAAAAAGAAAATATAAGATAGCCTATGTAAAGTAGGTTAAAATGCTGATATTTCGTAATATGATCTGACTTTTTTATATAAATATATATTATTCAAATATACTTGTGTACATAAACAGGTATAGTTAAATGTGAATAGCTTTTATTTGTCTCAGGGAAAAGGTAATGTGTGCTTGAGCAACGATACATCCCAGCAAACGGCTAGCTTTGATATAAATTCAAGGATGCTTTGACATCAAAACACTTGCTTAAACGCCATGCGTTAGAAAATGTTTTGAATTACGTTTGAGCATTTAGAGCTGAATTTAGTCTACAAGGTACAATTCAAAAGTTCCAGGATTTTTTAAACAACGCGGCTTCTAGTGGCGCCATCTGTCTGAAATTGTTATCCCTCAATTGTGTATTCTTCAGTGTTGTCGTATAAAATTTTTACAACAGCTGACTTGTATAACAGCTGAGATATCGCGCTACATGTGACATTACATTTGTAGTGTCGGTCGGAAAATGAGCATCGAACAAAGAGCCAACATTAAGTTTTGTTTTAAACTTGGTAAAACTTTTACCATAACTCATCAAATGATGAAACAAGTTTATGGCGATGATTGTCTATTCCGTAGCCGTATTCAGGAGTGGCTTAAACGTTTTCAAAGTGGTCGTGAGGACCCAAAAAATCGCGCCCTGAGAAGTCAAAAGTGAAGACAATGCGGATTTGTTTTTATGATTCCAAGGGTATTGTCCACAAAGAATTTGTTCCACCCGGCCAAAACGTTAATGCGGTATTCTACCTTGGAGTTTTGAAGCGTTTGGTAGCACGAAGATGGAAGTTGGCGTTTGTTGCACGATAATGCGCGGTCTCATCGATCGACGCATGTGGCCGATTATTTGACCAAAAATCAAATTTTAACAATCAACCACTCCCCGTATTCACCTGATATGGCACCGTGCGACTTCTACTCTTTCGGAAAACTACATTTGGCCATGAAAGGAAACCGCTATGCTGACGTTGATGCCATCCAAAAGGCGACGACCGCCATCCTCAACGCTATACCGACAAATGACCTAAAAAAGTCATTCTATAACTTTCTTGAACGCGCAAAACGTTGTATTCAGGCGGAAGGAGACTATTTTGAAGGCGACCAATAAATTAAAAAAAAATAATAATAATATTCGTTTTTTAATAAAAGTCCTGAAACTTTTGAATTGCAACTTGAATAAAGGCAAATCTTACATGAAAACCCTTATCATAAAACAAATTGACCAAAAACCAAATAAAAATGATCTTAATCACTTATACTAAATAATAAAAAGGAAAGAATAGTCATAACCTAAATGAAACTTTGAAATATAAATTTGTGAATAGAGAGACAAAAAAGTTTTCCATTTTACAAATATGTATGTATTTATTATGAACATACATACATATGATACATGCTAGCTGTCTTCGATTCAGTTCAATACTTGCTAGCATTGAAGATAGCGGTTATACCTTTTAAATGTAGTATGCGCATAATCTCTGGTATCAATTCAAAGTGATACAATTTTTATTGCTTTTCCATGTTTTTTTTTGACAACACCCCGCAAAGATAATGAACAGACAAATGGCGAAAATTTCGTTCTGTCATGATGTAGGGTGGCAGCCTAAGGAGACGGAAGGAGTGTTTGTATATAGTATAGTGGACAAACATCTGTATTGTTCTTTCTCAGATCCAAAAATAAGAAAAAAGCGAGGTTTTGTCTCAAACAAACTTAAAATTGAACAAGAAAAACGTTAAATTCGGCTTCACCGATGTTACAATAGCCTTCACAAGTGTATATCTTTTAGCATAAAAGGTATAGAATATCTTCATCTTGATTTTGATTGGTTAGTTTGAATGACAGCTGTGCGGAGATTAAAGCGTTGCCTTGCACAATTATCCATGCCAAATTTCGTGAAGATAAATTGTCAAATAAAAAAGATCGGTCAGTTTGTATGGCCTCTACGAGGTGTGTTCAAAGTAAAAGGTGAATTTTGAATTTTTTTGAAAAATACTTATTTATTCATCAATATCTATTTTTTCCCCTACCTTGGATATAACATTTGTGCCAATTCTTTTTCCAATTTTAGAAGCACTTCTGAAATGAGCTTTTTGTTATGGCCATCAGCTCTTTGTTCGATTCTGAGGCAAATACACGTATTCCTTTCATTGGTTTCTTCAGTTTTGGGTATAGGAAAAAGTCGCAGGGAGACAAATCTGGTGAATACGGTGGTTGAGGCATGATTACAGTTTTGATTCAGATTACAAAAAATCACAAATATGCATAGATGTGTGAGCTGGTGCATTATCGTGATGCAGAATCCACCATTTGTTTTTCCACAATTTTGTTTGAGCCGTATTGCTTCACGCAAACGTTGTATAACTTCATTGTGGTATTCCTTATTAACTGTACGACCTTTTGGCAGGAACTCATGATGCACCACACCATTGTAATCAAAGACAACAGTGATTAAAACCTTCACATTTGATTGAACTTGCCGTACTTTTTCGGTATTGGTTCATCTGGTAGCTTCCATTAGGATTATTGGGCCTTGGTTTCATCGTCATGTTGTCAAAAACAAACTACAAGTCCTAATCGAAATTGGCTCCTAATGCAAGCACTTAATAAACATATGTGTCCGATTATAACAAAAACAAAATATCGATAATCAAATGTACACAGCCAGAAAAGTCAGAGTTCACCTATTCCTTTGAACACACCTTGTATATGCTATAAAAATCCGAACTGATCAATTTGTTTGTAGCGCTGGCTAGTATAATAGTTTATGCTGCATTTCGTGAATATATCTTATCAAATACATAGAAAAGTTTTCCATACAAGGACTTAGTTTTGATCGGTCAATTTGTATTGTAGCTATGTATATGTTTTAGTGGTTTTCGACGAATGAGCAGCTTTTTGGAGAGAAAAGGACGTGTGCGAAATATCAGACGGATATCTCAAAAACTCAGGGACTAATTTGTGGCTAACTTAAATCCTGTTCTAAAAGGGTATTATTCAACATGCCGCTCCTAAAATCTTTAATTTTCTTATTTTCTGCCTAAGTGTCATTCTAAATTTTTTTTTTTAAGCTTTTGTGAACCAATGACTGACTGACTTTTTATAATATATTTCTGAATTTGGGTTTTACTTAGGTATGATTGTGGTAGTTGCAAAACGGTTACGGCTCTTACGACCTTTACAAAGGGGTGTGGGCTAACTATTCAAAATATGTATGCAGACAAATCAAGAATCAAAAACTTTTAACTGTGTACTCGTATTTCAGTAGGTAGGTACATATATACAGGTAAAAAATATAATTGTGATATCTTACACTCATATTTATATGTGTGGCACTTTCTGCCGAGATTTTGCGCTGTTTATAAGGTGGTATCTCCGGTATTTTTGTGGGTTGATGCTGTATCATGGGTGGAGGTGTCGAAATAAGCGGATGTTTGGAGTGCTGCGGACTACTGCTCGCACTGCTACCAGTTTGATCAGCTGAGTCACTTGATTTTTTCCGGAAAGGCGGTATTTCTGATATTTGTATAGGCTGACGGATAGTATTTAATGCCAGAGTGCTTGCACTGCTTAGAGAAGCTCTAAATAAATGGTAAAATTAAACAATCGGAATACAGGAGCGGAAGCAAATGGAATGCGGAAAATTGGCGGTATAAACAATTGATGACGAAAGGTGTGTGCAAGGATATGGACATAATATAGAAATATTTTAAATAAAATATGCAAAATAGTGAATGAAAGCAGAAAATAAGAAAGAGAGAAAATTGACCATTAATTAAAGTTAAAAAAAATAATGGTAATACATATATATATGCCCTTATATGTATACTAACATTAGAGCGGTTCAGCTTTATTTTTTTTAGAATTATTACTAAATTCGTGATTTTTATGCTCTGCCACATAAGCATTTTCTATTATAATATATGCTAATATAACAAAAACATTTAACTTTTTAATAACTTTTTTTTCCGAATTCCAGAATTATATCCACTTAACGAAGTTGAAGCGTAGTTTGAAGCAGATTTATTATAACTCATACAACACAACAATATTTTTGATGTTAATGAACCGCTCTAATGCACATATGTTATGCTTATTACGTTAATGTTTAATTCACAAATGTAGTGTAAGTATAAGTATAATCAAACGGAAGTAAGTGCGATATTCATATCATATGAAAGTGTAGATTTGGTTTTATCATGCTAAATATTGTTTGTGTTTGTTTTTTTAATTGTCAATCTAGGTTACGTTAGTTATTAAGGTCATATAATATTATAAAAAATATAAAAATTCATTCACACTAATAATTCATTTTACTTATTACAACAATTAATAATAGAATCGCATAAAGATGTATATTACATACGGTTAAAAATTGTTGCTTCACAACATATGCAGTAGTATTTATATTTTGTTATATAATACTCGTATGTAATATCCCAGAAAAAAAATTTTGTGAAATTGAATTTAAACTTATATTAGTAAAAATTAAGACGAAATTAAGTTAAGTTACTTTACTAACTTTTAAAAAGCCGGCGCATAATTTCAAAGCCTAAACTGGTTTAGGTAATTGCAAATAAATTTAAAAAAGCGTAGGTAAAAAAAATTAAATAAATTATTTTCTCCTTACACATAAAATTTCGATAAATCTCAACAGTATTGGAAAGCAAGTATGACATAAAAGTTTTTTTCGGTTTCATATATATTATATATTGTGTAAATGATTTAATTGCGCATTCATTTTTTTATTATTCTGATAAATTAATAATTAAATTAAAAATTATACAGTTTATTATCAACTGCACACTCCTCCTCTAACATATTTACATACAAAGGGCTATGTATAAATAAATATATCACGGCTATGAATATTCATATTTTATTCATACGCTTACATTCTCTCATTACATACAGGACACAAAAATATAAATTACCCTGAAAAAGAGTGCAATCTTTGATTAGCTTGAATTGAGCTTAAATTACGAACTGAATATCCATGAAATGGGGGTATTTCCGCTTTTTTCATTTTCAGCATACAACTTTTACATGCGCTGTATGAAGTCAACAATTATATGATATTAAATATAACAATTTAAAAGTTATATTAAGAATATATTAATATACAGAAATAATTTATTTATTATTATATTTAATAATTAGGATTTGCAATTGAATATATAAACTGGATTCATAAGATATATACATAAAAAAAATTTGTTTATATATGTAATAAAATATAATGTGGTAAATGTGTCCAAAATAGTTTTAAATTTATTTGAAACAATATCGTCAGTATTTATTTTATGCACTATTTAGAAATCAATAATATATCATTATTTTTTGAAATGCTTAAAAGTAGTGGCAGCAAGAAGTTTTATATTTGAGTTGAAACTTGATAGAAAGTGTAACCGCACCGGAACATTTTATACTCTCGCAAAGTCTTGGAGACATGGGCGGATGTCCGCAAAATTTTACATATGAATTTAACACTCGTTATTCGACGAAATTGTGAGTTGATTACAATCAACCAGAGAGATAATAATATTAGTTATAATCCGCTATAACCAATATAATTAGGGGTTCATATAGACCAGTTAGAGATTCTTAAACGAATATTTGGGCTAGATCAAGCACTGCATCATTGTGGGCAAGAAAACTTGTCTACCTAATTATATTAAAATATCCACAAATTCGTAATAACTGATATATTTGACACATGTAAAGTCAATCGCAAGGCCGAAAATAACCATATTGCCTATATTCATTGAACTGAACTGAATTAAAACAAGTTTAACGTAATGCGTTCCCTAATTTTGATAAGTTACATTACATAGTGGTCGATATATATGGTACGAAGTACCGAACCCATTTTATTCATTTTTAAAAACAGCCACTTTATTAAGGTAAAATCTTAATTTTTATGAGGTGTCTTACAAATTTACTAAAGTATTTATGTTTGATTTGATGCTGAAATACAACGATCCATTGATCTATTTATATACGAATTTATATCCTTCTTTACCGTACCATTTCTATAGTAAAGTTTAGTGTTCTACTTTCCAAAAATATTGCAACCACGGTTTGTACGACCGATTAGAGACCGGACCGTGCTGACGTTTTAAACACAACAAAAAATCGCATCTATCGAGATATTTTGCAGTTTAATAGGTCAATCATAGCAGTTTAAGTGTATTTCAATAAAATCTTTTTTGGTCCTAAAACACATAATTCGTAATTTCCATCGTTTTATACATTCATACCCCTATACCTATCTCATTGGTTTTAAGTGTTGCGAGAGTTTAAAATTTTTAGAACAACAGAAAGTTATACATGGAAAGTAATAAAAGTTGTAAAACGTTTTAATGAAAATAATTTGAACGAATTTACTTTGCAGTAGAAGGTTATAAAAATTTTATTATCAAAAAGTTATTTAAAAAGTGTCGGGTGTGTTTATATTAATGACTTAAGAAGAAATTTAAAACGTAAAATATAAAGCAAAAGCTTTAAAAACTTAAGAAATATATTTGTTAAATAGACTAACCTGCCGTGTCCGTGGCCAGTCTCCTGTAATAAGCTCGTCACAGATGATCCACTGTTTGGTGGTGTTGATTCATGTAAAGGTCTTATCAGTATAGTACTGGTCTACAATATTAGAAGTAGTAGAAAATGTGCGATTGCATTAAAGAGTTTTTGTACTTGTGAAGGTGGTGAGTCTGGCGAAGAATCACGATTCTCAAATATATTCACATTTGCTTCAACATTGCGTTGTAGGCCGAAATTGACTATTTCATCCATTTGCGTATAGTTTGAGCCTTGCCGCAACTGCTCTTGGTATAAAATATCCTCAGGGACTTGACTCTCAATTGATTGATCATTAGTGGTTGTGCCTTCTAAAATTAAAGCGTCCTGGTCTGGCTGTGTGGAAGTAGTCGATGGAGGTGTCGGTGGTGTGGGTCGCGGTGAAGTTCCCTTGCATTGCATCTCTCTGCGGCAATGTTCGGCGCGTGCGATTTCCGCTGCCAACCACGACGGCAATTCAGGCAGCAACCATGTAAGCGCAGAACGCAACCCTAACATAATATGCTAAATTAATGACAATAAGTAAAATAATAATTAAAATAAATAATGTGCTATAGAGAATAAAAAAGCTGGGTTTCGTAATACCTCCAAGGTAACAATCAAAATTATTGTTTGAGCAGTTGTTAGACCGGGCCATAGACGTGAAACTTGCCCGGATAAGCCAATCAACGCACAGTTGACAATGACTGCAGCCAGCGACAAAATACTAAACGCATTTTGCCAGGTTCCAATATTAGCCACACGCTGACCGAACGGTCTTTGGTGAACATGAGCCAACTTGAAGGCATCTGAACGTATCTCCATCAAGTTGTTGACGAGCGCACATAAACCGGCCAGTGGAAAAGCAGCAGAGAAAAGTACTACATAACCCATCTGAACCAGCATCTCTAAATGATCGGAAAATGTCCCGTCGTACTGTAATTGTCAATAGTGCATCATACTGGTTTTTCAAATACCCAGGTTCCCCAATTATTTACCTTGTAAAGTGTACTTTCGATCTCTGCTTGCCCGATATTTCGCTTACATGATGAAGTTGTAGTTCTTACCAATGGGCTACTGTCGTCATATCTCGTAGGTGTTTGGTGTGGTGTTTCCACTTTCAGTTTTACAGTAGTAATGGATGCTGTCGATGTGGTCGTTGAAACACCGGAATCCATTATAGTTCGGGTGATATCCTGTGTAGGGCTGAGTGCACCCCACATATTAAAGCTCAATTTAGCTAGTTTCCATTGTTCAATAAAGTAAGGTATTGCTGACTCACGAAGGTTCCCAATTATTTGTCGTGAAATTAACAACCCGGCCAATTGCTGGATATAATGATAGAGTGAATAATAATGGTTTTTATTGGATAGGTGCCATACACCTCGGATGCTAACGGAAACATAAAAGCAATTCCTCGTCGAACTTGATTATTAACAAAACTTTAGAAATATTATATAAGTATTCTGCTGGTGGTACATTTTAAGTTTCTATGCTATGTTCAAAGTCCTTGTATGTTAAGGGAGCCTCCTGTTTTGAACTAAAATGTTTAGAAGCACAAAAACCGAGTCTTGGGTATGTGACATATCTCAATTTCTTACTTCTTACTTAACTTAGTGCTTAAGCATTAAATACGATGTAGTATTTAAAACCAGATCGATCACTTAACTTAGTGCTTAAGCATTAAATACGCTGTAGTATTTAAAACCAGATCGATAATTGCGTTTCACGCCCTAAGTTCTTTATTTCTATTTATAATGAAATTATATGTATTTCATAAAGATCACTTTTACTTACCTCTTTTAGTTTATCCTCATCTCGAAGATAAAAAGCAATGTAGAATAAAGACAAAAATGAGTTGACGAACTGGAAAAGAGCTACTTTTGCTATAAGATGGTTTTCGTATTTCGATTGAAGACGATAGTTTTCTAAAACAATAACAATTACATTGAATATAATGTAGAGAATGACTTGAACAAACCGTGATCATTTAGCCAGACAGCCAATTTATAATAAGCTTCATCCAGTAAGGTTATTGCCCCAGCCAATAAAACCTTTGGTATTACACTAAAACAGCATAAAATGCTTTCTTCAGGCAATTTAGAGTCCCACCAATCCTATAAAAATATATGTAATGAACAAATGTATCATTTATAAATATTCTTATCTTGAAGAAGAAGTAGAAACATGTATACACTTCTTATTCGCAGAATTACTTTTGATATCAGTGATAGATTGCCAATTTTATTGATGCACATAGTATGCATATTTTGTAAAATTAAATGAACATACTAATACATATAACTATTGATCTGAATTCTTTTGAAAATGAAATAGTTCACTATTCAGTTGAATATATAATATACTTGTAAATTCCCTTTGTAAATTTCTGACAAGAAAAGCTTTGAAAATATAAAAATATCCCTTTAATTATCTCCAGAAATAATGAATAATGCGACATTAGTTTTGATCCTACAAGTAAAATTTACTTTTTCTGAATTTTATTAAAAAACACTTAGAATGTGTTATGTTCAAATTATCACAGACATAGGCATTTTAGTACAAAAATTTAATTGATAACAAGACGGTGTTCATTTTCGAAAAGTGAGAATGGGATTGTAGAAAAGTATGAGTGCATTGCAACTTGAAAGCAATTTCTTGATTGTGTAACGTCGGGGTAAAACTTTATATAGTAGACACCAAGTTAAATGAAAAATGAGCAAGGAAATACCCATATTAGGATAAAAGCTGTGGAACTTAAAAATTAAATCGATAAGCAATTGATGCATATAATCGCATTTTAGAAATTGTAGAACGAGTTTGGGAAAGACTGCTGCAAAGACGAATTTGAGAACAGGTACATTCAAAAGTGAGTTAGGCAATTCGTGAAGAAGTAATGTTCAGAATATTTTACGGAGATCTGAAATAATACTTGTCAAAGACGGAGATTTAATAGCTTAAGCAAACTTTTTTAGTTTTTAATTTTTATACTCTCGTTACATGTTGCACAGGGAATAATAGTTCACCTAACGATGGTTTGTAACACGTAATACTAATCGAGATAGATATGGAGTGATGTGTTATTTACATCAAAACGATCACGAAAAAAATTGCATTCCGGTTGTCAGTATGTCCGTCAGTCCTTACAAATGATAAGTTGAGTAAAACCTGAGATATCTTGATGAAACTTGGCACACGTGTTCCTTGGCACTCTGATGAAATTGATATTGCAGATAGGCGAAGTCAGATAATTGCGATAGAATTGCATTCAAATCGGTATAAAATTAAAGATAATCCCCCTCTCATTTTTAGGGGAAATCCCAACAAAAAATGAATTTGGTCAATAACATTATCTTCCATCTTATAACCACGTCTACTTTACATACTACGTGGAACACAATGTTAAATTTTACGAGTATATCTAATAGTTTACTAGTAAAACAGTGGGTTCGTTTGATGCTTCCGTTGTCGTATAAATATACACGTACGTATGAAAATGTATGTATGTGCATACGAATGTATTGTATAAATAACCAAATACACAAATAAGGAGTTAAAAACTTATAATAACCTTGTGCAAATTATACATGCATTGAGCAATTCCTCTATCAGGTATGTTATTATGATCCAGCCAATCCTGTAAAAAATAAATGTATTGCATGAAATGAGTTTGTGAATTTTGCTAAAACCGAAATAAGAAATGTAAGCTAAAACTAACCTGATGTTTTTAGAAAACTATCAAAATCTAAAATAATTAAAGAGTAATTTGTAAATTGCTTTTGTAAACTTTTTTTTAGCTTCAATTATTCAAATAATTAAGACCAAAGTAAATTGAATGAAACAACTAAAGTAATAAAACTGTCGTGCTTTAAAATGTAAAAAAAATCTGCTGAACTTATTACTATTTAAATCATCGTAGCAGCAAATTTCTTATAATAAAATAGAGGTCCAAAGATTTTGCGTCGCTATGGCTTAGTGCCTTCATATCTGCTGCAAAGGAGTTGCTAATGTAAAAAAAATATATTTATTTTTTTAAATTGCCACGGTTAAACGATGTTAAAGTTTTACTAATACGTCACTAAGAAGTAAAACGATTCAAAATATTCTTCACACGCTGATTAATATTATATTTTATGGTATTACTCTAAATTATCTAATGCTGACATCTATGTATGTATGTTATGTTCCTCACTTCGATTATTTTGTTAGTATGCCCACGTAAGTAACTCACCTGGAACCGTAGCATCAGGAACATAACAACAAAAACAATCGCGAGGCACATTCCGATCACTGGAAAACTGACTAGGTATCGAAAAGCGCGACGCTTCCACGCTGGTGCTTCTCTTGGTTCAAGTCGTCCAGTTACATTATTTTCTACTAAAATACCCTGAAATGAGAAAAAAATCGTATGTACATATATATGCACTGGTATTTTACAGGTATAAACCCTATGAATCTAATTGGAAAATTTCTTGGCAGGAGTAAACCGAGCACCTCATGTAGCTCTATTATCTTTATTTGGGTACTATCTGTTACTATTCGTTGTACTATTCATGAATATTTTGATGAAGCTGGGTACACATGTTCCTTGGCATTCTAAGGTGGTTGGTATTGTAGATGGGCAAATCAAATTATCACGGTGGGCCCCGCTCCTTAATAATTTTATGGATAACGGTACGCACTTCCCCCCTGTAGCGAACAGCACGCTTAGTAGGCCGCTTATGTTGACCATAAGTTAAGCGAAGCGCGCGAAACACATTCTGTACAGAACGTGAATTTTCGTAATTAAGTTGAACGATTTGTAAACGTTGTTCAAACGTAAGTCTTTCCACGATAAAATGCCAAACAATACTGAACAAAAATAACATGACAGCTTGACACGGCTCGCGCGAGTTAACGACATAGCCGCACACCGCATACATATCTGCATACAATATGTGATATCTACACTTCACATACACATCGTACATATACATATGTACATACATATAAGTGATATTGCATATCACTAGCATAAATACACAAAATCGAAATAAGAATATGTACACATATCTATCAGCTAACACACATTGTTAAATATAAATACTAGAGATAAGAACACATAACAATAGAAATTCACTATGAATAACAACCTAAAGATAACAATAGAAACTAATAGTTTTATCTGTTAGTAAACAGATAACTATCGATACAGCTCAATAGTATAAATAGCACTAAGATTTATGTAAACTAGTCAGTCTTAAGAATATCAATAAAGAGTACACATTCCGGTGCAGCTCAAAAGCGCGAAACGGAATTAACAGACGATCTTAAGCTTTACCGTGTTTATTCCATTAATTGAGACTTCAGACTGAATTCTTACAAGCTATTTTTGTATACTTATTCCTTATTTTGCCTTTTCGTTCAATTTGATGTTGGATGCAAAATATGCAATTGTGTTGGATGTAAGTGCATATGCTTATTGGAGTGTCGGAATGTAAACTTTTAGTTAAATTTGTAGGTTTGTATGTATCTTTTTATGTAGAAATGTGTTTTCAGTTTTTGTGTGGAAGGTGATGAGTCATTTGAATTTAATGTAAGTGTGTATGGCTAGGATGTGGGAATGTAACTCCTCCACCCTTTGATTCGAGATTCTCCTGAGTCTCGTTACTTAGTTCCGTATTTTTTATTTGAATTGATGTAATTCAAAATCGGAATTTGTTTTAGTAATTTGTTAACAGTTTTAATTTGGTTTCTTTTTCTGTATAAATAAATTACAATTATAACTATTACAAAGGTGCAATGATTGTTATACTTATTTCATATTAAACTTTTTTGTGGAAGTTCTTCTATTTCTTTTATATATTCGAACTTTTCCAAATTTATCACACTTAATTTTATTGCTTTTTGTTTAAACGTGTTGTCTCATTGAATCTGGAATTTTTCATAGAACTATACGTAACGTAAATAAGCCTAACACGATCACAAAGTATGCGCAAAATGTTACTTTTAGGCGTATTTTCGCATATTTCAAGCGGAACAAATCAATTGAAGAGCAGGGTGATTCAAAAATAATAATATTCAAGATACATTTTGTTTAATAGCAAATAAAAATATGGAATTTAATAAAAATTTAATTAATTAAAAATATATTATTCAATATTCGGAGGCATAATATTAGTAACATTATTATTATTTTGGTAAATAGCTACCCCACCTTTTGGAACAGTATTTTGTCTGAATTAAACAATACAATTGAAATTATGTATTTCAATCAGATTATCAATGGTGATAAATTTCCACTTATCTTGGCTGGCGATTTCACTATCAACTTCACTGTTAAAATCAGGGCGGTTTACAACTTTTCTTTCAGAAAAAATGAATTTGAAAATGAATAATGGTCCAAAAGAATCCACAACAAAATATGGGACCACCATTAACGCTGTATTTTCCAAATATTTAGAGGATATCAAGTCTCAAACTTATGTTTCTTATTTCAATTACCATAAACCTATAGTTTCAATGATAAAAATTCCTGAATAACCTACAGGTATTGTAAGATAATAAAAATATTTTAAACAATATTAACTTCTAATTTATTTAATAAAAGAAAACAATTTGTTTATCAGGTTATTACCATTTAGGGTGATATTTCGTTTTGTGCAATTTAGATATACATGTTCATTTACAGCATTTTTTATTGATAGGGTATTATCCTCTATTGTTATAGTTTTAGTTTTATTATTTATTTTATACCGGCATGAGCTAGAAAATATACAGTTTTTACTTATTTCTAATTCCTTAAGTAGAGCTTTTTTATCAAATATAGTTTTAATTGTTTAAGTTTAATACAAGCTCATTTGGCTGATTGATTTCTATATAATTTTTGTTCAGTAGTAATATTAAGTTCAAGTATGCAGTTACATAACGCCCTTGCTTAAAATATTGGAAAATAGTATATTATATTTGGCCGATGTCACGTTGTTTTGAATTTGCCTATCTTTTTTTCTATAAATCAAAGTTTATGTAAGCTATCGTAAAATAATGATTCTTGCTCCCGCTCTTTAATAATTGTGTTAAGTGCGTTTAAGATTTTCTTCCTATCATCTTCTATTATTGTTTCCAGAGTATTCATGGACTTATTAAAATTGCTGTTGATAATAGTTTGTTTATTTGAGCTTTCTATTAAATGGTGGTTATTCTTGCTAATATTCCGATTCTATTAAACAGTCCCCTCTTATTTCTATTAATTTTTTTGGGGTTATTGATTTCGCTGCTAATGACTCTAGTTCTGTGAAAAGGATATTCTTTTTACCTACTTCCATCTTTGACATTTGTATGTTTTTTGTCAAATCTTCTAAAATTGTTTGTATCTCTTCTGTTTTTGCCATCTGCAGTTTAGTGTTTGTTTCATTCGCAATTTCTACTACTCTCAAGTGTATCATCGTAAAACCTAGTTGATCTGTAATCGGATTAACCGTCATTAAGCCTTCTCCTGTCGTTACCATGATCGCCAGTATGATGTCAATATTACTGCCTGTGAATTTAAGAGGCCGTTTAAAGTTTGATGCATGAATGTTTTCTAAGTTTCTTTTTATAAATTTTGGTTCTTCTTTATGTCTAACGCTTTTATAATTTTTAATAAACCCCTGTTTCCTGGTTTCTAAGTAATCTACTCTAGTCGAGTTGTGTTTTGAAATAGTCCTGAATTTGGTAGTTCTAATCGTTCCTTAATTATTTCATGGTCAATTTTGTCATTCTGAACTTTTAAAGTTGAAGCTTTTATTGTGGTGTGATACGAATTATTGTAGAATTTCACGGCTTTCTGCATTTGGGTAATGATGAGGGCATATTGCCTCCAATGTTTAATGTTCTTATGCGCTCAGTTAGCGTATTATTTAAACTTTCTATATCCGAATTTCCCGTATGACTATTTAGCTTTGTAACATGAAATTCTATGTCTTCTTTGGACTTTGGATATCGCGAACGTTCTTCGAGTTGAATTCATTATCGAAAATAACCTTGCCCTTTAATTTATAAAAATTAATTAATTTTACCGACAATAGACTATTTCTATTGGGTAAATGAATACATATCGCATGCTTTGAAAATTTATCTTTAAATATGATAAAAGAGTGTTTACTGTTATCAATTTCAAATTTTGCTTTGATAGGATGTCAGTCATATTTGCCTCCACTACATATGTCACATTTATTTATTATTTCGTGAATTTTAATTTTTAGCTGAGGGTGATACACTTTGTATTTCATTCCCTCGTAAGTTAAAATAATTACTGAATGTCCTACTTCATTTTTATGAAAAAAACGATATCTGCCTCTTTAGTGCATATTCTTCAATATCTTTGGGAAAATAACTACATTTTACAAAAGAGACATCCTGATTGTTTGCGTAAGAGTTTAGAATAAATCCTTCTAATTCCTTATATTCAGTATCACTAAGTTCAGAATATATAGCGATCTTTCCTTTGTCAAAATATGTTCTCACTAAATTAATTACATTTTCACAATCAATAACCTGCTTATCCACAAAAACACGTTTATTATTAAAACTCGACCATTAGTAAAATTTCGACCATTGGTTTTTGAAAAAACTGCATTTTCTATCCCACTGGGTCATTATGAATTTTTGTGCATGTCATTTGGCCTTAAAAATGCTCCGTCGACGTTCCAGCGTCTTATGAATTCAGTACTCCGAGACTATATAAACAAAATATGTGTCGTTTACTAAGATCCTGATTTTCGGTACTTCTTTGACAGAGCATATAGAAAATATGAGAAATCTTCGAAAAGTTAAAATTAGCTAAACTGAAGATCCAATTAGGATAATGTAGTTTCTTACAAGAGGAAACTGGGCCACATATTAACGCCTACTGGAATAAAACCAAACTAAAAAAAGGAGGAAGCCATACAAAAACTAAAGTTGCCTACTTCCCAAAAACCAATAAAATCTTTCTTATGTATTACAGATTTCTATAGAAAGTTCATCAAGGAGTATTCTAAAATCTCTTGACCAATGGTAGCATGTTTGAATGATGAATGCAAAAGTTAATATAAATGACCAAAGTTATATAGCTGCATTCCAAAAACTTAAGGATATTATTACAAATCCTCCCATTCTAAGATATCCAATTGTACTAATGTACCCTTGGCCAGATCAAAAGAGGAAAAATATTGTGCTCTGCCTAATTTGTCCATGATACTCTTAATATTAGGTATCGGGAATTTATCACTTTCGATAATCGATGACGATACGCCATCGTTAGGTTATCAATATATCTACCTTCCTAGGGACCACATAAAAAGGAGCAGAATTGCTTTCTTTTATTATATTATGATCTAACATTTAATTAATTTGTCTCTGAATTTCCGATTCGTTTTTTATATATAG